TATTATTATTATTATTATTATTATTATTATTATTATTATTATTATTATTATTATTATTATTATTATTATTATTGCTATTATCATTATTTTCAGAATTAGCAGCCGCAGCAAGTTTTTCCTTTCGTTTTTTCTCCTTCTTTTCGCGTCTCTTTCTTTCAATTCTTGCTTCCCGATCTTCGATTTTGGCGTTACTGCCTTTTTTAGTTTTTCGACGAATCACAGTCTTTTGTTGTTGACCCAACAGTACAGAAGCACGATTATTCCTCGGTGTGACAGTATAAGCACCACCCAACAACGACATCATAATACTATCTTCTAATAGTTGACGTCGTAAAAGTACCGAACTCCGCTTTCCACCAGTTACTATTATTGAGGTTCGTTTTCGCTGCGATCCTACTCGTGATAACCGTTTTGGATTGATTAATCGGGACGCACGGTTTGAGGAAGGCGTTGTTGTAGGTCCGATCTTTGAATTTCGTCTTGAAATTTGAGGTACTGCAACTATTGAAGAACGACTCGGATCCGAAATTAATTGGTGATTTGTACGATTATGTGGAAGAGGAACTAGTGTGGCATGAATGAGTTGTGGGGGATGAAGGGGCTTAGGGACCCAAGGAAATCGATGATCATAAGAAGGCAAGGGAGCATTATCATCTTCCAAATCTGTAGGATCATTTGAATAAGCGGGATTGGAAGTTGGTGCTAATTCTACGTGTCGTAGTGTGCGATGTCCTCGTGGCTTTCGATACATTGTGTTCCCTGATCTTTTTAATTTCCGAGATTGAGCTGCTGGATGTGCATTAAAATATCTTTCGTCGGCTTGTTCCCATCCTTCGTCAACAGTGGAGATATCAGGCTGCACTGCATTCACTGCAAAACTCTTCCTTTTGCCCTTCCCTTTTGATGTCTGCTTTTTATGTTTACGCTGCGACTTCCTTACTTCACTATTATTATTATTATTATTATTATTATTGTTGTTGTTGTTGTTGTTATTGTTATTGTTATTGTTATTGTTATTGTTATTGTTATTGTTATTGTTGTTGTTATTATTATTGTTGTTATTATTATTATTATTAGATTTTCCTTTCTTTCGCTCTCTGGTTCCACTTTTTTGTGGGGCAGCTTTTTGTTTATTACTAGATTCATGTTGCTGCTGGTGGCCATTATCATTATTCGATGATGACTTTTCCGCATGTAGCGTTTTCGATTTTCTTACGGATGCGGACAAAGTATTCAAATCCGAATCCGAGAACGAATGTCGATGTTTACTTTTCGTTCGTAGTATTGATATGTTTAGAACTTGTGCGGAATTACGGAAGTTCTGCAAAAAATTTTCCTTATTTGAAGAAGATGACGAAGATGGTGGTGGTGGTGGTGGTTGTATTGATGGTCGTGTCGGTATTGTCGACGATTCATCTTCAGTTGCACTATGATATTCTACTACTTTTACTTTGGTGACTGTGATCCCCAACGGTGATAATGGAGACGAACCGATTATATCCTGGGATTCTTTTGAAGCTTGCAAGTCAATATGCGGATGGGAAGGAGATCGTGTTGAAGAAACCGTCGTTGTTGTTGAAGATGTTGGTTGTGGTTGCGGTTGCGATGAAGATGAAGTCGTCGATGTATTTGGGGTATTAGGAAGTGGTTGTTGTATCACTTGTTTCGCAGCCAGTGCGGAATCCATGGAGATGCTGCCATTCTTTTTATTAACATTACTTTCTTCTGATGATTTCCAATCCATTTCATACATATCATACGTAGCATATCTTTTCAACGGGGATTTTGGTGAAGGGTTCGCTGTTGCACTAGAACGCCTTACATTCTCACTAGTTCCTTCTCGTGAAGTAAATGATTGAGAAGCGGATTCACTTGACCGACGACGTCGGTGGCCTTCATCAAAATGTGAGGGTGATGATGGTTCTGTGGCTGATGATGTTGCTACTATTTCCCCTGAATGTCTTCCAAAGATAGAGCTCAATTTGTTTATGTTCATATTTTTTGATGATGATGATGATGATGGAGGATGTTATGATGAAGCCTGTGTTTATTATTCAGCACTAAAGAGTGAATTTGATGATTTTGCTGACGCACGCGCTCGCGTGACTCTGCGGGCTATACGCGCAGTCTTTTTACAGATTCTCGGCAGTTTTGGTGTGGTATTGTTATTCGTGTGGTGGTTTTGGTTAAACAGCAGTTGGGGCTGTTGTGACGACGTTACTGTATCCAGACCAGCTACGGTAAGGTAATTCTGTTTTAGTTTGGTTAGAAAAATAGATATTTTTTGTTAAGGATAAATATTTTTTATTATTCAGGTAGCGAGAAACCGAATCGTAAAGATGATGGCAGGTGAAATTGCAATGGCTAACAGAGATTAAACTAACGAACTGACTAAATAGCTAGCAATAATACGTTGTCTGTTTGTGTTCTGTATGTATGCTCGACTTTCTCTCCCACACGTAACTTTACTTTTAATTTTATCCTCAAATAGTTCAGCAAAATAGCATATAATTCAGAATTGAGAGAGTATCAATCACGTTAACTTAATAAGTTTTCATGAAAACGACTACTAAAAGAGGCAATAAAGGGAAAACAGCCTTCGCTCAATATATCTTCTTTTAAAGCCAAACTAACGGTTCATGGTAATACTATGATATTTCACAGACGCAAAAAAAACACGCGTAAACAATTACAATAACGCCCCAGATATCATAAAAAAAGGATACGGAATTCGAATACGCACACGTCACAGAGAGAGAGAGAGAGAGAGAAGTTGAAAAAATAAAAACGTTAAAATCAATCGAGAAGGAAGTTAATAAAAAGAATGAATAGAATAAATAAATATATAAATAAATATATAATTATATAAATAAGGTGGGGAAGGGGAGATTCTCAAATAGAGGTATAAGAAGTAGAGACAGAAAAGAGGAAAAGACCCTCGTGTGATAATGTAGAAGAATTTGATGCGCAAGGCAGGTAATATTCAATATTATACCAACACCAACTAAAATGAAAATTACACAACGCTGTTCTTGATGATGAGCAGCAGAAAATAATTATTTACACAAATATATATTTAATTAAACCTTGCTGTTGTAATGGTACGCACGCGTGAAGTATATATAGTTTTGCCTCGAATCGAATCAAATCGATGAATTAGTTTTTGCTTAGAAATAGCAAATTATAGAGACGAGTTCTCGGTTAATTGATATATGTCCGTATGTGTATAACAGTAGTAGGTAAAACTCTAAAACCCGTAATTTTTGAAATCGACACAAGAACACAGCATAATGGATGGATGACATTTATTAACTTTTTATAAAAATGCTATTAACTTTTGTATGCTCGATATGTATGTTTGTGTGTATATGTTGAGGTATACGTCGAGGCGAAAATGTTTCAGTGAAAACCGAGTGAACAATTGATCGAACATACTTTGTCATATTGTTATGTCGATATCGGATTAACGTTAATTAATTTTATTATGGGAAAAATCGATCATTCGCAGATTCTAATCTTTATTAATTGTTTTGGCAGTATTATCGTTATACTCGACAAAAACTGTTATCATTATTAAACTATTTAAGGTTTATTGGTTAAAAAGTTATTTTTCGTGATACTATTTCCAAAACAATAACCAATCAATTATTTGACATCGAGCTCTGTCTACCTCAAAAAGCATTGATTTGCTTTCCTCCATATTAATATTTCAATGGAGTCATACATTATTATGCACACACATGCATGTATATGCATGTATACATTATGTATTCGAACATTATGTATTTTGTCGTTATAATTAGGAAATCGAAATTAAGTGCAGTTTCATTATTGTAGTCACATGATATACTTATGGATACTAAGTAAGATCATATAATGCGTAAATTTCGGGAATATTTCTTTTAGCTTAGACAGGTAAAATAATGTGCTTTAGAACCGTATTATGATCTCGTTAATTTGGTAAGCATTTGTAAAATAATAAATTGGGGGGGGGGGGTTTTATCAATATAGAAAATGAATATATATTACAGAAAACCACTAGAAAATTATATATATATTAATGATGAAAAAAAGTTATATACCTACAGAATACTGCTATTATGACTAAATTAAAATTGAAGTGAACGTAAGAAATAGTAAATTATAATTAATTCATTCATTCCCTGACCATTTTGTCAAATACTCAACAACCCATCAATATTGTTGAGTATTTCATCGAGTTCTGTTCTTCATCGAGACTCAAACAATTTCTTCTTTTCCGTCAACTCGCGTGATAGTTCCTTTTTGAAAGCCTGTTCACGAGTCCGTACTTCTTTCATAAATCTTGCGCCTTCTTTATTTTTCTCATTGACCCAAAGTACTTGTGCCAAAAGAGGAATTGACATAAATTCTTGTCGGTTTCGTTCCACATCTTCAAGCCAGTAATATTTACACTTAAATTTCATACATTTATTACCCGGAAAAGGACTCGAAAAAGTTGCTTCAACGTACGGCAGGCCAGAAAGAATTTTTCGACCTAAATCACCATTAAATCTTTCATCCTTGGCCAATCGATGATTACTGATGGTCTTTTTGTCAAAGCACGAGTTACATAGTCGAACACGAAATGCCCAGTACACATTTCGCATTGTTTTCGCGCCACACAGTTGGCATCCTCGTTCTAGAACCAGGCACACGTAAGAAATCTCGTCCATTCCGTCGGGCGGTGGTAAAGAAAGAAAACCAAGGAATTCTTGTCTCGATGTTGACCAGATCTGCTGAGTAGTGATTGATTCTTTGGAAAATAACTTATCACGATATGTTTTACAAGTTCTCGAAAGTCTTAAAAGATCGGCCGGTGGTAGATATTTACATATATGAATGAATATCTCTGTCGGAATTAAGGTTGCGAGACATTCTGATGTAGTGTCATTTTCTCCTAATTCGCCTGTAAATACTGATAACTCTTGTTCTATTTTTCTTTTTTTATTTTGTTCACTCTCGCTAATATCTAAATACCTTTTCTTGAAATACGCGAATGTTACCATTAAGATTTATTTAACCAATGGATGCTATTATTACACAGTCTAACCAATCACATTGATCCTTTACCTTATATGCGGATCTTATGCTATCACCGAGATCTTCTATGACAACTTTCGGCATAATCAAATTCTTTATTTCGTGTGTATCTACATACACTTCTTGATTCTTGATTCGAGTTGTTTTTACTTGGTTTCTTTCATTGGCAGCAGCTAAACTGATTTCTGTAGCTCTGCGTGTTGAAGGTCGGATGAGGCGCCACATTTTTTTTTTTGCGAGGAATTTCGTGATGTGTATAATTTATCAGGCGAAAAAGTAGTCTGTGTGATAACGTAATTACGAATTTTATTGGGCTGTTAAAATAATATCTATTGCTAAAAACAATACATATAATATTTGGGAAAGCTCGTAAAGCACAAGTATCATTACAAAATAGAAAACAAATAATAAAAAACACGAGGCAAGAGCAATTTTATAGTTCAAGTGTCTTCGTATTAGTACGTTAGTAACTGCAAACAAACACCAATTATTTTACGCGTCTATTCGTAAAAAACATTTTTTATTCGTAAAGACCTTTCGATAAAAGAACATGTAAATAGCGAAACTTACTGTTCTGGTGTATAATTTCTAGTTATCGACTGACAGTAACGACTATTATTATCATGGGAAAATTTTTTTGCGAGAAGACGCGCGTCTATTTGTAGTGATTAACAATTGGTTTATGCTAAATTTTTCAATCAATATCATCACATCACGATCTCAAAGAAGGTGTATATATAGAAGTTATTTGATAATCTCACTAAAAATGGAGCGCGATTAGAAATTACATATAACCAAAGGAAACTTTGGATTTTTTCGTCTATCCTTTTAATATCTTCTAATGATTTCATATCCGCTTTCATTCAGTAGCAAGCCAATGTGAGTTTGTTAAGGGAAGCTAAATGTAGGCTGCAAAAACAGAATAATAAATAAATATAAACCGGTACTTGGAAGTAAAATTGAATACCGCAACCTGTTAAGAACCAAGCAAATGGAAGACAGCGAGAATAGCGTCATGCTGAATTTTGAAAGTGTACCATATCACAGATGAAATTTAAATGAATTTCGATGAAAAAGGAAACAATTAGGCAAGAAGGTCGTACAGGATTTATGTATTGGTTCATTTTCACTCCGTTTTAAGCTTTTTCTAAAACTACATTGCAATCGCGCGAATTATTTGATCATCCAACGTAATAGGATCCCATTTGTAAAGGAAACTCATGCAGCTTATTATTATCGTTATGTTGTGATCAAAAAATAATTATTACAAATTAAAAAAAAACGAACGATTTGCTTGTAAAACGATACTACTCAATAAATGACTACTTTTAAATATTTATTATCATCTAAGTTATATAATAAAATAATTTTACTCAATGGCCCGACAAACAATTCGCAATATATCAATAATAATTATCATCGTCCAACCAGGCGCGCAATTAGATAAATGTCATTTTATTGTTCTTTATACTCTCAGGCATACGTAATTGATAATCTGAAAAATCGATAGTCAAGAGTCGATAATAAAAATTATTTATATCCAACAAAAAAAAAAAAAAAAAACAGAAATTAACTTACCCCCATTCTGTGTAATGTAGCGTACCCAAGGTAACGCCTGATATCCACTTTTCTCGACAATCTTTAGGTACCGCACTTGAATTCCTGATGTGGTGAAATAGGGAATTTCAAATTTTACTCCGATCGGTGGTTTCTTTTCAGGATCCTCGACTATTTTAGACATACATAATCGAGAGAATTAAAAAATTAATCGGAAGATTGCACCTCAAATTAACAATATATAAACAAACTTGCCATTTTTCACTGACGGTAACCCAAAATGAGCCCGCATTGAGAAATCTTTGCCTCCTTGAAACTGCTTGATTTTCCATACGATAGATGACTTTTCAGGAGCATAGTGTACTGAGCCAATACTACTCTGTCCCCAACAATAGTGGTACATTGAAAATATGTAACATTCTTTAGTTCTTTGATTCCTTGGATGCAAGCCATCACCAATAAAAAAATCTATAGATAATATATTTACCCGGAATTTCGGCGTATCAGCATCGTCAGGCACCGGAACATAAATCTCGACATTATTTGCGGTGGATCGTCGTTTGAATTGTGCTTTTGCTTTTATCGTGTATTCAATTCTTGATCCGGTGTAGTTTTCTATTTGAGCTTCCACCCAGATTAAAGGTTTGACCTGTTATTGTTGATGACACATAGGAACGATAATGTCATTTCTTCAATTATCTAAATTTTTAATTAGGTTTTCGAGCTAAAGGGAAAAAACACACGTGCTCAACAACAACAAACCTGTGTATTCAATCGATAACTCATCAACTCAAATCCGCCATCGGGGGGGATAAACGAAATGGTACGATCATTCTCAAACCGAGATAATCGTACACATTGATGAAACTTTACGTCTTCCATCTCGATCGCTTTACCTCTGGTCGGCGAACGGCCTGTACTCTCAAACATCACTTTATCATTCAATCCGAGTCGCAATTCCGGCATCCCGGTAAGATAACATTTCATTTTTATCACGCCGAGAATCTCACTCCGTAACACATTCCCATTGGCGTTCACGAGCAGATTCACCGATTCTATCACGTCGAGAAATACTTCATTTTTGCGATATTTGATGTTTTCTGAACGCCACGATACGGCATTCGTGACGGCCATTGGTGGGCGTACTTGAATTTCTAATTTGTGTGATTCTTGTGTTATGTATCTTCAATATAAACAAATAATTAAAAATCTTGCATACATTATGCTATCCATTATAATATCTAATTGTACAGGAAAATAAATAATAAACTGAACATCAACAAACATTAAGCATACATACTCTTGCAAGATCTTAGTCTCGGTAGTCTGCGGATACCCGAAATCCATCATCTCATCCAACAACTCGTAAATAATCACGAAATTATCACGAATCGATTCTTCCTCGAGCTCCTTAAAATATTCTGTAAAGACCTTATGTTTTTATCGTAGTAAGATTGCCAATATAGACGTCAACACAGGATGATTATTACCTCGTTATCTTTTTTTATTTCACATTTAGCTAAATTGAAGATTTATATATATGTCACCTCTGTTAATTTGTGAAGAAATAATAGAATTGTGGTGGCGTTTGAATTTTTTTTGGTTAAAGCGAGCACTGGTTCCAATAAATACAATAGATTAATTGTTGAGGATGCAAAATAACTAAAGGATGATCTATTAAACATCCTTCTTTTTCTTTTTAAAGAGATTAATTGCTTCGAAATATCAATCATGCATCTTTATTTCTAGCAATTCTTCAAAAAATTCGTTTCTCCCTTTACCGCTTCCAGATTCCCACACCAGCTTCTGCAAAAAGGATACAATACAAATTGTTATGCCGGATATACAGGTAACTAACGCCTTCGTGCGTAAAACAAGGTGTTGGTGCCTGTTGTTCTTCTTCAGCTTCCAGTACAAGAGGCATAAATTTTTCAACTGCAGACATCGGTATGTCTCCTCGATAGTTTCGAGAGATGAGGACCTTGCCTTTCAGATCTAGAACAAAGACTGCTGATGCCATTTGAAGGTAGATATTTTTGGGTCTAGAGAATCAATAGAAATATTTTTATACCCTGTGACCACTAATATTTTCGGATTGTGCCGGTAAAAAAAGATCAATTCCATTTATGAGGAAAAGGATAATTCAACGAAATTCGTATTTTTATTTATTTCTTTTTATGAATCATATTTATCACGGTTTATAAGTTAATAATGTTAAAATTATATAAATATTTATACCGTATAAATACGAATACAATCAAGTTGTTTGATTTTAAACAACTCTCACTTATGCCAAATCACCGCCACTTCCCCCCACAACAAATCCATTTGTTGTCACACTACCACCAGTATTCCCACTCGGGACCGCAATCGCTCCATTCCTATTAACAGCAGAAGTATTTCGCACCAGCGGCATCTTTGGCATCTTTGTCTGAGAATGGATCCAGCCCATCTCCACAAAAAAGTCATAAATACGACTAGTTTTATTCACGTCAATCTTTATAAGTTCCCTGGCCTCGCGTCGCTTCAAGCGAAAATCGCGTCGTGCGTATTCTTTTAGTATGATTTCTTTGATGACCATGTACGGTTTCGGAAATATACGCAGATGCGAACAGAGTGTTCGTTCGGCTGATGTGAGCATGTGAACACCTTCTGCATTGTCGAGGTCTATTGGACTTGATTGTTTTCGCATTTGTCGTAAATTGTTGGGGTTGATATTATTGTTACTGTTATTAGCGTGGTGCTAAATTAATAGAAAAATAAAGTAAGCAAATATTGTATATTGAGGTTTAAAAGTGGATGTTGAACTAAAGGACAAATAAGTACCTTATCGATTCGAACCGGCGGTATTCTGGCTGCATATTGTGCAGCCAAACGATCACTACTTGCACCGATAATGATACGAGTTGGCGGGTCTCGTGTTGCTTCTTGCTATATTAAATACATCGCGTCAATAAATCTCAAAAAATCGTTTGGACTAATGGAACATATATAAAGAAGAAACTCACTTCTTGCAATTTATTAAGTTGGTATTTTTCACCTTCTTTTATCGTGGTAATACCATGACGCCGCCATTCTTGTAACTTTAAAATTTCATCGCGTATTCTAAACTCGTCTATGAATTTATATCAGTAAATGATAACATCCATAAACCGATTAGACAATTCCTAGCACAAACAAAATATATAAAACATACTTAACATCCCATCAACGAATTTCTCATGATCAGATTTATTCATCAATTTCGCAAAAACTTTGAGCTTCGAATGAAACTGCCGTTCTTTGTCTTGTAGTACTTTATCCCCAATTGCAGTAACGGTCATCAAAGAAGTAGAAACAGCAGCGACAGTAGAAGCAACAGTAGCAGCACTGGTGACAGATTTCTTTTCGTTCTTTTCAAATGGTAGGGCTTTCTTTTAAGAACGAGACGCGGATGGAAGGAAGGATGGATGGAAGGATGGATGGAAGGACGGAATGGAAGGACGGAAAGTTGGGATGGTAGTGCGATATGATTGTTATTGCAATATTGAGTAATTAATAATGCACACAATAAATTAAAAAGTCATCTCAATCAATAGCACAACAAATATATATATGTATGTGTCTATATCCACTTTTTTAAAGTCGACTAGTCCGTGCTCGAATATTAGTCGTTTCTTTTCGGTGCGTCGGTCGAGTTTTTTGTTGTAGATTTTTAGCATTGACAATTTTAGTTCGACTATTTTTTAATACAAGAAAAATGAGTCAAATATACCAAAATATACAGATATAGAAAGAGAAAAAAAGTACCTTCCCCCTTCGGCATGTCATTATCAAATTCTAGTTCTTTAATGAGCTGCTCAGCGTCATTATCGATTTCTGTCTCGAATTCTTTTCGTTTTGGCATGTATCCTTGAATCTCGTGGTTCGCTGGTAAACTCTGCAAAGGCTATATTTATATAATATATATATTTCAGAAGATATGATTATTGTTGCTTTTGGCAGAGGCTAAAAATAAAAAACGCTCATTTATGAGCTAGGGATCTCAAACCTTTGCATGGGTTTTAGCTTTTACTGAATATAATGATAAAATTTATTAAGTAATTCAAAGCGCGAAGATAGTAGATAATAATCAAATTTTACTTTAGGACTCACTCGGTGGTAACTGTTGTATAGACTCCATCCGCCGGCGCTTTCTCTCTCGCATATCTCTCTCGTCAACGTTTTCGAATTTCTTCTCCATACTCTACACAAAAAATTAATTCGTCCATCGTGTATATATTAGTGAGAAAACTTGATAAATTAACTGTTGATGATCTATTAAAAAAGATGAAGACATACAGGAATAAAATTCTTCGCATTAAGATACACATCTAGATAATGTCGTTCACATTCCTCCTTTGTCCTACTGCCGACGTAGGCCGCAATATCTCCCCAATTTCCCAATCCGTGAGTTTGAGCGCCTTCAATCAATAGCTCTTCTTCATCAGCACACCAATCCGGTGTGAATATCGGAAAGGTGAATTGATCCTAATTGATTATCGTGAATTCATGATATAATAATTAGATTCGATAATCACATAAAAACGACAATGTTTAAATACAACACATTGTTAGATCTGTTTATATACGACTGCAAAATGATTGGGCATTCGATAAAGTGTAAACCACAAATTCTTCCACAGTTTCAAATGAACGTTGCCTATTCTTTATACCCATTCAATCAGGGAAATAATCAATTAACAACTAACAAAAAAAATTGCTCACCATAACTCGGTATTTATGAAAGTTTTTGTGGTCTTCCACTTCTTTCCCAGCGCAAAAGCAAGTCACGCATAGATCAAATTGTGGACATTCTGCACAGTTTATTCGTACAGTGTTGCCAATCATGGCTTGACAATTTTTGCATCGGTACATTTTTGTAAAGTTAATTTGGTGAGTAGAAAAACAAAAAATGTGTATGTACTTTGACGATCGGCACTTAGACAAACACACAATCACATGGTAAATTTGCACGTGTGTAAGATCTATTCTCCGATTTCCGATTACACTAAAATTATATCGATATCTGTCAAACTACGACAAACTCCGCTTTTAACATTATAATGACCAACGTCTCAAAGCAAGCAACGCCGCAACGCACACTTAACCCGTTGGGGGTCGCTGGGTTCTTTGAACCTAGTCCGTTTCTCGACCGCCTGGTCAGGTTTCTTGGAACTGTTGCTGGAACTGATAAAGTTTTTATGGTGAGTGCGTTTGACTTAGTTTAACTTTACTCGAGAAGAAGTTGCTGTAAGTTACTCCCTGACAAAATGAGAAAATCCGATATTTTTGCTTTTTGATTAACTAAACGCTTATTTCAACCAATATAGTTTGTCCAATACTACTCTAAAATTATAATATGGTTCCTGTCACGTACAGGTAAAAAAACGGCAGCCGAACAAATCACAAATTTAGCTATTCCGATTTCCGATTTCCGAATATTACTTCGGTAATAGATTACTACAATTTTTCTCAAACTTTTAAAATTGACAATTAAACAATCACCCGGAATTCAACAAAAAAAAAAGATTAATGATTATTCTCTGTCTAATTAATCCTAATTATATATAGTTACTATGGTCTCCTACCTTTAATCCAATGGATGATCCACATCGAGCACAACCCGCCCGCCACGCGTTTCCTACATTTTATAGAACGTATACAAAACATTGCAAATATTCTCTACTACCCGCTCGAACACACATGGTGGCTCGGCCAACATAAAGTGATCTCACTCTCGGATACGAAAATGAATCAGATCGGGATATGGAGTTGTCGGTTCTGGGCGGTTTATGTGATACTGCAGTTTTTGCATTTGTTTGAGGAGTGGAGGTTGATAAAGCTGCGTCGTATTGAGGTTTCCAAAAAGTTGGCGGCAACGGGTTCATCGTCGACATCAGATAGCGCAAGTCGTGAAGAGGTTGAGTTGGAGAAGCAGGTGTTGGACACTAATGCAGAGAGGATTTGGCGTGATACGATTATTAATGTTGGGTATTTCCCGTTGACGGTACGCAAAATATATTTTTTATTTGTTTTTTAAATTCTTTTATGGTGTGTCACTATTTTTTTATTTATCTAATAAAAATGAAATATTGCTATTGCACATATAGGTTCATTGGTCGCTCGAGAACTCCTCATTCCCGGATATTGGTGTTGGTATTTTCGGAACTCTTGCTGCCATCTATCAATTCAAAGCCTCGTGGAAAGCCGCTGGATAAATTCGATCCATTTCGATCGAGTCTAATCTAGTCGAGTCGAATTCCAATTTACTTTTTGGTGGAAAAAATGTATGGTCTAAAGACATTAAATAAATTATACCCTCCGGTTTGTGAGACACAGTCAAATCTTGATAGATCGACCAACTCGATAAATTGGCTATAAAATGTCAGCCCGAGGCAAGAGTGACTGTATTTTTAATTTTATATAATTCATTAAATAATCCGCTGGTGCATAATCAACACAATATCTTGGATCAATGAGAAGTAAAGAAATAATCGAAGCAATCAAGCTTACTTTGCCGACGTGTATATATGCGCTGTATTCGGTATTACTTCACTGTTCCTTAATTTAGTTAATTAAATCGGTCATTGTGCTAATCTTTACGTTAATGCATCTCTACAATTAACGCTAACTCATTGTTATTCACTTTGGTTAACACTGTGTCAATCAATTGTAATTTGACTCGGGACATCCAAAATCTTGTTGCACTTGACAAACCTATTCCCACCCATGGTTGCTTCGTCTTCAATTTCGATTTATCTCGATAACTCAAAATTACATTATATTTATAAACCTTTATTTATTCAGAATTTGTTACAACATAATGTTACACCAAAACTCCTGCACCAAATTTGAGACTGGTGGATTTTTTCGGAGTAATTTTTTTTCAGTAAGATACCGACATCACAAGCACGCATCTCTTTTTTCTCTATTTCAACGCAATTGAACGTATTTAGGACATGGATGTCTTTATTTTTTTTGGTTACTAAATACTACTACTACCATCACCAATTCCATTAATACGAGATTTAATTAAGATTCTTTAAGCAACCCTTTCGAACTACCACTATGCAGATCATTAGGGTGTTCAGTAAAATGATCTACGCGAAATTCTAAACAATATATAACTAATAATTAAAAAGTAATAATTATTAATGGGTATTGCTATTGCCACCCTCCACGTGATTCGGTTTGATTCGATTTGATTCGATTAGTTCGCTATTATTAAATATGATCATGTGATCTCACACAATCAGATTGACTTAAAAATGTGTAAATTTTGATTAAATACAAGAAAGTATAGTAAATGGCTTTGAGCACTAATGAAAAATATCAAAAAAACAATTTACATATAATAATTGCTCTTTTTCTAATACTAATCCTTATTCTAGATCTTTAGTACATTATTATAATAAATATACATCATAGGTATTATTATCAAAAATAATAAAATTATATATTTGTTCCAAATATTTAATATTGTTACTATTGTGACATGTTATATATTATTTAGCTATTTGTTGACATGCTAGAACAAAAGATCAATTAGGTGAACATAGTATTATTATTATTATAAAGAGCTCAATATTTATTTATGATAATGATATTTTTCTCACATAATAATAGTATTGTTATCATTTTATATGAGTTCTTGGAAAAGTTAATGAATGCTTAATAATATTATAATAAGTTACTTGATCAGGATAATTATAGTAAAGTTTATTAAGAATGACAAGTGGGAGAGTATAATATAATCAAATCAAATCTATATAATGCATTAAGTATCATCATGAAATTTTAAACCAGGTTGGCAATCGATTAGAAAAAATCGATGGTAATCGATTTTTTTTTTATCAATCGATTGCTAACCAAAATCGATCACCATCGATT